CGAAAAAAAGACTACGACAACGTAGGGAAAACGTTTCTTACTAAGTTTACGTTTGCTTTTTAGCCTTTTATTCGTAGTACGAATATAATCTGGTAAAGGAGAACACACGTGAAAAACAGTAGTCACCTTCATCAAGGTGGAAAAATAAAACAGAATGTAGCCCGAGTGTTAGATTTTTGGCACAAGGTTTTCAGTAGTTATATTTTCAAGAAATGTATGAATCATACTTATATGAGAAGATTTTTTTTTCAACATTTTCCAGTTGAAAAATGGACATTTAAGAAAGCCTGGACTTTTATGTTCAGTTTTGTCCCTGCATTTTCTGAGTTCTGATGTGCTTAAATATAATTTTGTATGTTTTGGTGTAATTGTAATGCTTTGTATTTTCTGTTTTATATACATTATTTTTGTTTGATAATTCCATTTAATTTGCATATGACTTTATTTTGTAATCTCTTGATTTCTATTTAGTCTAGTGTTCATAGTTTAAGTGTCAAAAACATTACTAACACTGGGAATACCCAATTGATGACCTAAGGCAAGGTGATCATAGAAGCTCTTCACCTGTTACTCATAATTAAGATAAGTTTCAAAGAATTTTAACAACTGTTTTGGTAGAAGTTATTACATTATAATATTAAAGAAAATGTTTTTAAAAGAAACAAAACAAGGTAGAAATACGAACATTTGTCTTGTGTAAGGACTTTAATAAGTATTGTAAGTATAAAAAACCTGAAAGACAATATTGAATTTGTTAAATGCACAAAATGTGCATTCCATATCACTTTGATGAATTGTGGCATTATGTCAATTAGAAAAAGAATTATGACATTTTAGCTGTTGAATGAATCCTAATGTAGCCCTTGTTTGTTTGTTTTGTTAAGCACAAATGTACACAAAGAGTTAGTGTGTTCTGCCAACCATGGTTATCAGAATATGATTTTTAGTGTTATAAGCCCTTAGACTTACTGCTGAGCCAGTGAAGAGCTTCAGCTAATGTAAAATAATAGTTACTTATACATTTGTTTGTTACCAGGAAAGCTTGAAAAGCATTTAACAAAGCACATAGTTTTTCTCATACCTTCATCATTTCTTTGACTTTTTGATGAAACAAAATTGAAAATTAACTTTGGATGACTAATATTTATAAGATTTAATTAATCAATCTCTTTTCATTAAAAACAATTTCCAAATTTTTATCTAAAAATTCAAAATGTATTACATATTGAAATAACATAGATACATAACTGTGTGCAGCTCATTACAGCAGCTTCATAGGCACAAAGATTATAATTAGATGTTTAATAAAATTATAATGTATAATGTCCTACACTAATATAAAGACTATTTTATCACTATGTAAGAGAACAAAAATATATTTGGGTGAAAGACACTTAGGTAGAGGTGTCTGCCATGCTCTCCTTATTAACATTGACAAGTAATTCCTGAAATGGTAACAATTGAATGGTATAAAAGTGATTGATATGTGTAGCTGGCTCATGGATTATTGATATGAATTGTCACAATATGGTAGGCATTATTTATGATTAGAATGTCCCTGGTGAAAGTTCTTGACTCTTCATGTGAGAATAAACTATAAGTTGACTGTAATCTTTTAATGAGCCCAACAACTAATCAACTAACAGATTTCAATAATTACAAAGCTCTACTTACACTGTTTATATATTTTATATTGTTGCACAATTGTTTCTAACAACAAGCCATATAATTAGAATGTTTAATTAACTTGAATGAATTTTTGAGAAGTGTTTTTGCAAGGGTTTTTCTGTATGTATATACAGGGTTATCACCAAATAGTTATATTTAATATAACTTGTCACACTGTTGCATTTATAAATTGGTACGGAAAGAGTGTCCACAAACACATACTTATACACAGATACATTTTAAGCATCTGTGCATGAAATGGTTTGTAGAAGTAACCTTTTCACACTTACTTTTAGTAACTTGTACTTAAAAGGATAAAGCTATTATAACAGTATATAGGAATATCAAAGACATAACAGGTAACGGTGCACTGCTAGTGGATGCAAAAATGCTAAGAATGCTGATGTAGTTATGAAATGAGAACAGTTATTGAAGAAATGGACAGAATATATTGAAGATTTGTTCCATGACACTTGTGAAGAAAATCCATCTGTTAAGAAGAATATGACAGTTTGAAAATTCGTAAATCAGAAGTGCAAACAGTTATCAACAGAATGAAAACCAATAAAGCTACACCACCAGCTGAAATTGCAATAGAACAGATAAAATGTTTGGAAGAAATTGGTAAAGAAAAGTTAACAACTATTGTCAGTGAGGTTTATGAAAACCTTAGGATCTCAATAAATCAATCTTTATTGTGCTCCCTAAAAAACCTTGGGCCATTGAATGTGAACATCATTGGATCATCTGTTTTAATGAGTCACGTGACAAATATCCTATTAAAGGTGTTGATTATGAGAGCTAGAAGTAGAGTAACACTGGAAATTGCAAAATATCAATGTGGTTTTATTGAAGATTGTGGTACAAGAAATGCTATCTTCATGGTATGAATGCTTTTCGAGAGGGCAATACAAATGAAGAAGGACATTCTCTTGTGTTTTATTGACTGTACCAAAGTTTTTGATAGACTCAAGCCTATGGTGTTTATGAAAATGCTGGAAGAACTGGAAAATTGATGGTAAAGACTTAAGAATTTTAAAATCCCTCTTGGGACCAAACTGCAGTAGTGAAAATAGAAAATGAAGTAAGTGATTTCATCCAAACTAAGAGAGGTGTGAGACAAGGCTCTGTCTTTTTACCTGACTTGTTTAATATGTACAGTAAGAAAGTACTAAGGGACAATGAGGATTTACCAGGGCTAGTCATTAGTAGAGAATTTGAACAACTTGTGTTGTGCTGATGACACAGTTTTGATAGCCGATTCAGAAGAGAAGCTGCAGAAAATTTTAGTTAAAGTTGTTAGTGAAAGTGAGAAGCAATGTTCTCTAATTTTTTAAATCCATGTGCAGAATGAATTTTTTCATGTGCACCAATATCAATGCAGTGTGCAGATGTGCACTACCAGTTGTTTTTTTTTGGGGGGGGGGTATTTTTAGACCATCGACCCTATTGGATCATTATGCCACTTTTTACTGCTACCAGTTTGTTATTTTGCTTTAGGCCTATCGACTACCAGGGTCATTAAGGCTGTCAATATGTTGAGACTCCTCATTGTTACTGAGGATGTGCACAGTTAGAATACTGAAGTGTGTAGCACTTGATTGGTTGTTGTGTGGCTGTGCATCTTAGAGGGAATGCTGTTGAGAAAAATTTTTTAAGTATTAACTGTAAGAAAACAGAATGCATGGTAATTTCAAATAAGATCATTCCTATATGCATTGTCAAAGTAGATAAGGCAGGTCAATAAATTCAACTACCTGCAAGACTGGATAAAATCAGATGGTAAATGTGATCATGAAATAAAATGGAGAAAATAGGGATGGCAAAAGATGCCATTCTAAAAATGAAAATGATACTAACAGATAGTAAAACTTTTTTTGGGGTGAAGTTCAAAGTTTTAGGTTGCTGTATTGTATTAATTCTCATGTATGCATCAGAATGTTGGACAGTATTGCCAAGTATGGATAAGAGAATTTAAGCAATTGTGTTGTGGTTCTTAAGGTGCATTTTAAAGGTATGTTGGATAAGTCACACCTCAATTGAAGATAGTTTGTAAGAGCAGGTTTGAAGGAGGAAGCTGTTGACTAACATCAGAAAAATACAGTTGAAATTTCTTGGACATGTTATAAGGAAAGAAGAAATGAAAGTTTGTTTGAAACTGGAAATACTGAAGGAAGGAAAGACCATGGAAGATAGTGGTTGACTTATCTCAAGAGTATATGTAAATGAGTGAATGTATCAACACTGGAAATTCTTTGTGCCTCAAGGAGAAGAGAGCTCTGTGGAAGACCATAGTCACCAACATCCTGTTTGGATATATTACATAGAGAGAAAGTTCATAACTTGTTCATTGAACTTAGTGATCTATAGGTACAGGATATGTATTAGTTATTCTTCTCACACTTAAAATTAGAACCCTGTTTCATTTGAACTTACTAACAGTTAAACATGATACTACCTTTGAAACTTGCAATGCTCTTATGTTATTCTTTATATTCAGATCTGCATATCTTTATATATCTTTAGATGGCCAAAATTAAATAAATGTAGGTAAGGAATTGATATTTTTATCATGTGTTTTTAGGTCAAGCATGTTGAGAAGCAATGTGATGGAAAGTTGACAATATTGCTGAAAGATGAAAATATGATAACAGATGTTGATTGTCTTTTGTGGGCTATTGGAAGAAAGCCTAGTATTGAGTTACAGTTGATGAATGCAGTAAGTTGCTGTTTGTTATACGTAATGTTACTTCTATTGAAAATAGAATGTTTGTTGCATGTAATTCTATTGAATGCATTAAGTTAGCTATATAACATACCTAGTACTGAGTTACAGTTAGTGAATACTAAGTAGTTGTTTAACCCTCTGGGTACAGGTAAGTACGTACTCAAGTCATGATCTTTTTACAGAGTTATATTTAATTAAACTAATTTATTTTACACTAGCTGGAGTACCCGTCCTCTGGATGGAAGTTATGTAAATTCATGATTACTGAAAGGTTATTATCTTAGGACATGAAAAGTTGCTTCCATTATATGTAGTTGTAAAATGCAAAAATTCCCATAAAAACTGCAAAACACAAAATGTAAAACTGCAAGTTTGCTTGTATCTCTGCTTGAACCCAACAAACCTTCTTGGCAAATTTGGTGAAGATCCAACAACAGGGGGGGCGAAGTAGTGGTAAGAAACACAAAATCACAAAACACAAAAATTGAAAATTTTTATGTATCTCCCCATGGAACCAAAAAACCTTTATGCCCAATTTGGTGAAGATCCTTAACATGGGTGAAGTAGTGGTAAAAAAATGCCCATAAAAACTGTAAAATGCAAAACCAATAATTTGTGTCCATCTCTCCATGGACTGAATGAACCTCCATACCAAATTTGGGGAAGATCTGTCTATAGGGGGTGAAGTAGTGGTAAAAAATGCAAAAATTAAAATTTGTATGTACCCCTGCATAGACCTAATGAACCTCCATACCAATATTGGTGAAGATCCATCCACACCCTGTGAATTAGTTACATGGACATACAACAGACAGTACTGTTATATACATACACACACACACACACATATATATATATATATATATAGATGTATGTCAATAAACTTGGCATCAAAACGTAGTTTTTAAATCAATTTTTTATATTATATAAGTTATAATTTGTAAAGTAAATATTTGAATAAATTTTCAATCTTAACTTTTGTGTATCATGTGATATTTGTTCACTCTGAATTGCACAATTTATATAATCTTTCGACCTCTATTTGAGCATCTGGGTTGTAATGCAAAATTACAGGCTTATAGATATTGCTAAAACATAAGCTAACTTTATAGCCTCTAATCATCCTGTTTTACTTAGAAAGTCCAACCCAAATGGCACACCCTCCTAACACATACTGTCTTTCAAAAAATATCAGTAATTCTCTCTGACACTTACTATTACATTATTTATAACAAGTAGAGAGAGAAGGTTTTAAGTTATTGGTTTATGTGTAATACTAGGTCATTCTCACGACAGCTTTTGAGTTATTCGGTGTACAGATTCAAAGTTGCTGTCGCCAAGTGCAGCTTCACCAGCTAAGGGAATTATTTTAACACACTCATAGCTTAGTTAGAAAGCCAGTTAAATTATAATATTATAAGGATGTTGTATGCTTTGTGTGTTCAAAATTGAACATTTCAAATAAATAAATATAAAGTACAAACAACAACCCTAGCAATCCCATATTTTGAGATATGCATTCACAGGGTGATTTTTAGCTTGTTACAAAGGTTAAATAGTTAGGCATAGTTCAATGAAAATTGAAATTAAGTAAAAACATGTGTAAACTACTGCAAGCTTGAGGCTGTTTGTGATAAATAATTGTAATTTTTTGTTAAAATCTGCAGTCATTTTAGAAATAAAAAAGGGTAATTTAGATTTCATGAGTTTGTGGTGGTTACGAGGTCAGTTAAATGGACTGAGATCTTATAGTGTTAGAGTAGAGAAAATTACAAATAAAATATGAAGTTTTGCTGAAAGAACTTCATATTTATTTAGGAGGCTCTAACCATTATGTCAATAAAATTTGAAAAATACAAAATAAAAATGAAAATTGATCTTAACATAAAAATCACCTTGCATTCAGACCCTGACTCCATAAATTCACAGCCAAATCTTTAGTAAAGATACTTAATTATGTACAAAAGAACTCTTTTGTTTACTAAAAGCCTTCCTAATTTTATGAAGATATACTTACTACATTAAAAGGTATGTATAGTTTCATGGTTACATAATAGTTGCAAGGTTGATCAAAATGACTAAGTCTGTGTAGAGAGAATTAACACATCTGGTGCTCAGTTACAGTTCATGCAAAAAAACAAAAACAATGCTCCATTGAACATGGCTGGTGCATGATTTTTTCAGCATCCATACACCCCAGCTGTAGGTATTTCCAAACAGCATTTTATTCACAACACTTTACACAAGATTGTGTATACTGAGATGCAATATACTTTATTACCAGCACCAGCCTATGGACATCCAAATTAAATATAATTTAGCAGGAAAGCTTAAGCAGTTAGTGATGCAATTATCTATATAAATAATATGCTTGCATTTGGCTGTCTGGAACTTTCCTCACAAATTTCTTGATCAAACACTACCAATCTCGTTTTTTTAGAAAGGTCTGAGGAGTCTGGATTGCATATTGGCTTTTCAATTCAGAACCAATTTACCTGTTTTTTGCTTATATAGACTTTTCAAAGCAATGAGTATGGTACACGATGGCACAGTGTTGTTATCACATGATGATTGGCATTGATTTCAACTTCTTCTTTTTTGTTTTTTGCAAAGTATTTCTTATACACACTTAACCTGAATGTAATTTCCTGAAAAAAATCATTACCCTAAATACAATTTGTGGGCTTTTTTAACTTATTTGGGTCTAAAATGTGCATGTGCAGTTTGTTCACAATCACAGGCTTATCACTTTGTGAACATGTATTCATATGTTTCTGCACATTCAGCTAAGTTTGCTTTCATTACTACTTTACTTTGCAATAATTTAACTTCAGCTCATTTCATAGACTGCTATATACACCTTTTAGCTATTTTTGAACTGTTTCATACTCTGTACACTATTATAAATACCATTACTTTATTTTAGTTTTATTAAGTAAAGTTATGTCTATATGAATTTATTTGTCTGATTGCATACAATTTTTTCAAATAGACCAGAACTTATTTTTGTTTTGTTTTATTTATTTATAACACACAATGCCTGCAAGAGAGTGTATATTAAATGGCATGTGTGAAAATAATGGAAGAAGGAAAATTCAAGCAAAGGGTTTGAAAACTCTCATAAATGTTTTGCAGGTTTCTGCTAGTTAGTGTAATAAATGTCATCTTCAATAGGGATTGGTTATATTACAAGCGTGGATTAGTTAAGCAACTCTTAAAGGGTAATTTCAACTGATAAGTAGAAATTTGACCAAATATTCAAAGTCTGCAGTGATCTCTTTCAGTACCCACTAAGATTATTTCTAAAATAATTATGAAGTTCATTAATATGTGAGATTGCTCATTATAAAAGATAGATAAGCTCATCGGCTTATTGAAATGTTTTTCTTTACTTTTTTTTCTATATGAATAATAAAATTGTAAACTTGCTGAAATTATTTTTTTACTCTCTTATTCATCTATTTTTTATTTCTACTTCTGTTTTTGAAATTGTGTTTGACTTTGTTGTTTGGCAAAAAGCACACATTTGGCTGTCTGCTTTACCAACTGATTTATAGTATTATAAATTTTTTAAATTTCTTATCAATTCATTTGAGATTAACTTTTTTGTTTATTTTAATTTAGTCATCATGTTAGAATAATTGATTAGTTGAATGTAATCTTTAGTATCTTTTCAATCTTATCTAGTTGTGTGGGCACACACACTGATAATCATTAATGCATAGTCCAGGATTGTATGGATAAGTTTTTTGTAGAGCATAAGCAGGTAATGCTTGTCAATTCTGTTCCCTGCTGCAACTTCTAGTGCAGTGATACTTTTGGTAGTGGTGATTATCATTGTTTATGTGGCTAGTAAAGTTGAGGTTTCTGTAAAAGGTTATCCCCTGGTATTTCAGTATTTCTGCCTGAGGAATAGCAGTGCCTGTAAAGAATGGTGATGGTTTGTCTTCAGTAGCATTTCTGGTGTTGAGTGTGAAGAATGTGGCTTTAGCAGAGTTTATGACCATTGCACAGTTGCTCACTCTGTTAAGGGATGGTTGCACATTGATATCAATTTCAGCTTTGCTGGAACCTCTGCTGTACACCAGGATGTTGTCATCAATGATTGATACATGGCATCTGTTTGGATTGTCAAGGTGAGCTAGATCCATAGTGTAGATGTTGAAGAGGACTAGTGAGAGTGGTTATCCTCAAGGCAGACCACTGTTGATCATGATCCAGTCTTATTGCCAGCTTCCATTGCTCAGCTAATGTATATAGTTTGATGTCATAAAATTCTGAGATCTTCTTTAGGCAGTATTTTCTTCCCCTGACATTGCAGTAGCCTATCATAATGTGAAACAGGCAGAAGCTGGTGAATTTTTTGCATGCATTCTTTACCAACTCAATGTTTAGGCCTTGGTTTCTCTCTTCTACTTCTTCTGCTGGACAGTCGAGTGCCTCTGCTGAGTGCCCAATCTCTGTTGTTCCCACAGGCACCCATCTAGGCACTATTTTTTAATGTATCATTGTTTGTAAGCAATACATTAATATTCATTGTTCAAAACTTCCTCCTAGACCTGTTCATCCTAGCAATACAGTTGAGAGATTGGTAGGGAGTAGCCCATTAGAATGAAGCTGCCATCGTTAAGGTGGATGCACACTGGCCAGTAGGGTACAGATATATCCTCTAACTGTTGAGAAGCCTCCTTGATGTGGGACCTTATACTGATCATACATGCTTATAACTAGGCACATCAGCGTTGTTTTCAACCTCTGGTAAGAGAGTGCAGTAAAGTGTTCTCTCTGTGTGTTATGTGTAGCAGTATCTGGTACAACTTGCAGGTCAAAGTTGTGTTGGACATTGATCCAATATTCAGAGGTTCATCTGCCCTAATGTTGCACATATAGGCTGCAGTTGGCTAAGTCTGAGACTGATCTTACCAGCAGATTAGTCCCTGCCTCAGACTGATGCCTGAACATATACTAACATATACTTACAATTCAACTCA